GGCCTCCCAGAGTGCTAAGATTACAGGTGTGAGCCACCGTGCCCGGCCTCCCAGAGTGCTAAGATTACAGGTGTGAGCCACCGTGCCCGGCCTCCCAGAGTGCTGAGATTACAGGTGTGAGCCGCCATGCCCGGCCTCCCAGAGTGCTGAGATTACAGGTGTGAGCCGCCGTGCCTGGCCTCCCAGAGTGCTGAGATTACAGGTGTGAGCCACCGTGCCTGGCCTCCCAGAGTGCTGAGATTACAGGTGTGAGCCACCGTGCCTGGCTGTTGACATGAGTCCAGAGTGAACATTTTTGCTGGAATTTTAATCTAGACGATTTAGAGATGTTGTCTAAGGTTTTGAGTTCCAAATGCAGATCTAGAGAGGGGTCCTGGGGAGACACTGAGGAATTCTGATCTCAGGCTGGCCCTGACCCTGGCATTTTCCTCGTTTGGGCTGCAGCTCTCCCCGACTTGGGTCGTGATCTGAGGGGTGCGTGGCCATGCGTGCTCCGCACAGGTGCCGCTCCAGTGCAGCCATGGACCTGGGCAGAACCTTCCAAGGGCTGTTGTGTGGCTCCTGGGCAGATGGGGTTGACATCTTTCAAATTGCATGTATGCCTTAGCGTGTAACTTCCTCTGTATCTGTGTATGTCACTGCATGTCTGGTTTCAGGCTCTGACACTGCCCTCTCCCCACAGGAGGACACGCTCTCTCCATGGGCCATGCCCGGTGACCACTTTTGGACCAAAGGCCTGCGTGCTGCAGAACCCCCAGACCATCATGTGAGTGCTGGGGGCCATAGGTCGGGGGGAGTCCTTGGGATGTGTGTGGAGTTGTGGGATCGCTGTGTGGAGGAAGATTCTAGCACTTCACCTGAGAAGTACATGTTTTAGTTTAGGTCATTTAAACAAAAAGAAAAAAGCGACATGGGCGTCTTCCCTGAACCCCCTGAGTGCAGGCGTCCGAGCAGGGGTTCCCTAGCCGTGGCTTCTCCAGGGGCTTTGAGAAAGGGGATGGCAGGCAAGCCGGGATCATGGGCGGCAGA